TGTCAGAGCGGCCTGAACGAAAAAGACCATGTCCGGAGTCCACTAGAATATGATTCATTATAATCTCCATGGTCCAACGCCGAGAAATTATCGTGATTACTATGACAGAGGACTCCGTACAGGATGCGTTTACCTAGTTCGAATTGAAAACACGAGCGAGTTGCGAAAATAATGTCAAACGAATTATAAACCATTAATTACAAAAACATTTCATTTATTAAACAATTGCGCATATTTTGGACAAATTCACTTCATTTTTAAACAATAATAACAAAGAATTTTTAAATAAATTAGGCTTAATGTTTGCTAAATATAGGACATCTTGTTTATACTTCTTAACTAGGTTTGTTGACCTAGACATTCCTTTCGCGCCAAGCTTCTTGAGTATTATGTAATGTCTAAGTGTCTTAATAAGAGAAAAGCCTTTCCCAGTGGAGTAAAGAAGTCTTCAATGAAGACTGCCGAACAGGTCATTAACCGTATTTTGTGGGACGAAAAAATACCCCAGGCAGAAATTACGATCGGTTATCTTGACCGCTTCCTTGGGATTGTCGAGAAGCCTTTTGCTTCCTTTTCCTGGGAACCACTTGACAGTATTGACTACTACACATTTGCAGTACCAAAGCATAGAATTCAATATTTTAAATACAAGAACCTTATCATATGGGATAAACGAAAACGTCTTGACAAGGTATTTGGCTCCATAGGCTCTGGAATTACCATTGAAGAAATAATTAGAAACTACGATGATTCGTTTTCTTCTGATAACAAAGCTGATCCTAAGCATTATTCTTCTGTTAGTGATGATGAATCTGACATAGATGTATATTTGGACGAGACTAAAGTGACTGCATTCAACGACTCCTGTGAATCCGATGATGACGATCAATACTGGCGGAATAAATTGCGGCCAAATTTTTTCATATGTCAGCGAATTTCTGATGAAAATATTATTAATAATGCTAGGGTTGTTCAAGAAGCTGTAGTTTCTCGAGAACCGTTGTACGATACCTGTTGTCATCCTCCCAACATGCTCCATATGACATTCTGCACCCTTCGGCTAGATGATGCAGCACAGGTATACGGGCATTAATATATGAAGATTTATTTTAACTTTATCCGACTTTCTTAGGTTTCAGATTGCGTAGAGATTCTGAAACAGGCAAAAGAAGAATTAAATTATTTATTGCCTAAGGATCCTTTGAAGGTCTGTGGTGTCGATCGTTTCTTTGGGCGTGTTCTTTATGCTAAAGTTGAACACACAAATGAACTTACCCTATTTGTTGATCATCTTAGACTTGTCCTTCATTCACGAGGATTCCGCATAGCTGACAATTTTGATTTTGTGGCTCACATTAGCCTGATTAAAGTATGTTTTCATAAATGTGATATATAGTTATGCTAACATACTTAGGCTGAAACCTCTTAGGGTCTTCATTATGCCACAATATATTGATTTTATTTTTTTCTTTCATCAAATTATTTCTAGGTCACTCGTCCTGTTTCTAGGAAACTTGGAAAATGCGACATAGATCCGGCATTATTCCAAGGATTCGAAGATCTCCATTTTGGAACCCAGACTCTTGATAACATCTATCTTTGTTCAATGGAAAAATCTCGAGATACAGATGGATTTTACATCAGTCCGGCTAACATGACATTTATGAAATCTCTTATAATTAAAGAGGGCACAGACATCAAAGATTTTTGATATTTAAAGATTTTTTCGTTATTATTTGCAATAA